TCACAGGATCTATTCACTATTCCATGCTGCCTCTCTTAGGATGTAAGTAAAGCCCGCTATTACCAACAATAATTAAGAATATTTATACTTCTTTTTATGTACTAAGATTATTATTGCCCTTAAATTCATAGAACTGAGCTCTAAATAATACCTTCTCACTTCCTTTTTCTATTAGATTAGTTTAGAGTAAATAAAAATACTTTTATTAGTATTATTACAATAACAGATTAAATTTTAATTGCAGGGAAAATTTAAAAATAGATTTATATAAGAAAAAGTCACATTCATGTTATCAACTATGGGATTATTCTTTAGATTTTTGCATATAGTAAAATATTTCATTGCTTCATTAGAATACATATGTCCACAATTCATACTATGCATTTATTCAACCAAATACTTTTTGCTGTTCAAAATGTGGAGCAATATAGTTTGAATTCTAAATATCAAGGTGATTAGTTTGATAAGTAAATATAAACTGTTGGGGTCACTAAATTATTTACTGAATGAAGTATGTAATGCTTTTCTTGCAGCTGGTGCTAATTAAGTCATTGGCTTGCAGAATAAAATCAAACAGGAGCTCCAATAAGCGTTTTAGTCCTCTGTGATTTAGCTGCACTAACACCTCTTTGAACCATGTGATATTTAAACTTGCATGACCTTCTTAAGCATGGAGTCTCCAATTATAAGTATCTGAAAATTGAAAGCAGAAGTGGTGCGTTTCCCTGTGCTTCGGCCTTAAATTAGTCAGTGAGGGTTCAGGAGAGTTGGTCTTGGGGAGCAGCACGGTTTCTGTCCTTCTGAGGAGGCCAAGTGTATCTCCAGGAAGATGCCCTGAGCCACAGTTGGTGCAGGGGGCCCTCTTTCAAGGTGAGTAATCAAAAAGTAAAATTAAGTAATAGCACCCTGGAAAAGAAAGTGTTTGCTCCTCTGGGAATAAGCAATATTATCCTGCGATACGTTATATTTTCTCCATAGAATAAATGGGGGAGAGTATTTCCTTTTAGTCACAGTCTACACTTCTCTGCTGGTTGCACCGACCACAGAGGCAGACCAGGAAAATTAATCAACACGGTAATTACCTGTCCAATGATGTCTACGGACTGTATAATATACCCACAATTAATAGACCTCAGGAAGTTAAAGTTTAAGTAAAGCTTGGTTGTGCCACAACTATTCACTGCATCGCTTTGAGAGTTTAAGATCATATTTATTGTATTACTGTTGCAAACAAGTATAGAATTGAGTAATCTAAATCATTTGAAGTATAATTTCACATGTTAATTTTTTTCTTTTTTACTGAGGTAACATTGGTTTATCACATTATATAAATTTCAGGTGTGCATCATTATATTTCAAGTTCTGTGAAGACTCCATTGTGTTCACCACCCAAAGTCCAATTGCCATGTGTCACTGCACACTGTGCCCTTTATTCCTTTGTCCTCCCCTGCACTCTTCCCTTCTGGTAAGCACCAATCTGTCCTCTGTATCCGTCGCATACCAATTTATCAACAAATCTTTAAAGATGAGTTTTTGATGTAAGACCTTATTCATTTCCAAATTAGCATACAGGTAATGGAATTATAATCTGGGAGAATTATATTAAAACAAATTAGGCAGCATCTTCACATGATAAATGTATCTAGAAATAAAACGTGTTTAATTTTAAGGAGAATATCTACACCTCAAATATATTCAGAATCTGTTAGTGCAAACTAATTTAGACAATACACCTTCAACTTCAGAGTTAATTAAAATTTACTTCCTTTGTTATGTTTGTGTTTATTTACATATTATATGCATACATTTTATTACAAAAACAAGCTGAGTATAATTGTTATATAGAGAGAGTTGAATTCCGAGTTTTATATCCTAATATAGTCCCAGCTAAATTTTAACTGTTGCACCCTTGAGGTCTCTTTTATCCTAATATATTGAGAAGCTACATGTTATTATTCTCTAACTATAAAAAAGTCCCTATGCTTTTCATATTTTATCTAATTTTCAGAAAAATTTTTCAAAGCTCTTATTCCATTGGTGAAAGCTGAGGCTCAGATTAAGTAACATCCAGCTAGTAACTGAGAGATCCCCAGATGCAACCAAGTCTGCGTGAGCACCCCACACTCTTTCACCTTCATCAGGGGGGCGCTTTGTGGACTAGTGCATGGATGTTCTATGATATCCAATAAAATAATAAATATCTGTTATACATGCCACGACTAATGTGGTAGTTCAGGGTATGACTGCTAGAGGTCATCAAAAATATCTCCAACTGGGGCTGGCCCTGCGGCCGAGTGGTGAAGTTCATGCTCTGTGCTTCGGTGGCCCAGGGTTTCACCAGTTCGGATCCTGGGTGCAGACATGGCACCGCTTATCAAGCCATGCTGAGACGGCGTCCCATATAGCACAACTAGAAGGACCCACAACTAAAAGTACACAGCTATGTACTGTGAGGCTTTGGGAGAAAAAGGAAAAATAAAATCTTTTAAAAAAAAAAACCTCTCTAATTACAATTCATTGCATCTATAAAGACAGTGAGTACTTTAAAGGGGAGGCAGTGTGACTTCACATGGATTATTTGAAATCTTTGAATCCTTTTTTTCTTTAAACAAATAAGAGAGTACCTAAAGTAGATAAGGAGTCATGAACAAAGCTATAAATGAGCTGCATGGGAAGGAAGAGACCATGCTCTTGACATCAGAAGTTATCATCATATTACAAAATTAACACTGCCATGATGTGTGGTTTCCTTAATTTAGCTGTTCCATGCATTTCTCCTTTATGTAATAAATGATTAATAAATTTAATTATATATTTTGCTAATATGGTATTACAGTAAAATAAATGGAAATCAAAACCATAATTACTTGTATAGTAAATAATATTATAAATGATGTCTGGCATTAATATACCTAACATTCTTTTTCTTTCTTACCTCTTACCTATAAAATAATTGCATAATTAATAATTACAGGAGTGACAGGTTAATTCTACTTTAAGGCAATTTACATATGAATCAAATCAATAGAGGCACAATTCCTGATAAACTTGTAACATTAGACAAATAAGATTTTTGGCACTATCTCCTTCATGACCTGTAAATTTTAATGAATGACAATACTTAATTAACATTTTCTCATTTTAAAAAGAGTTTAGTAGAATGGAAAATACCTGCATTGCACATGCTGTAGATATAACCCATAAACAAACTAATTAAAATTCAAAAAACAAAACAAAACAAAACAAATCTCCAAATATATTTGCTTTAGCTCCTGGTGACGCTGGGCCTGGAAAGTGAAGGAAGAGGGTGCAGTGTGATGAGAGCCTGCTGAGGTGGCAGTTTGCTTCCTGCTTCTTGGTCACGCCTATTGGACATGGAAGTCAAGACATGATGATTATAGGGTGAAGAAATCAGACACATGCAGATGAACTCCACTTCAGGGCAGAAACAGATGCTACAACTGCCTTACAAACCAAGGTCTGAGCCTCTAATTAATGTTGTGATCAGAAGAGAGAACATTTGAAATAGGGTTTTACATTTTTCTGTTACCAGGAATAATCACAAATCTAAGAGTTTTAATGAAGATGTTGTCTGTGAAACCTCAGAGAATGAAACAAGTTTCTGCCCTTGAATTTAGACATTCCCATAATGAAAGCTAACTGGAGAGGCAAGTTGCAGGAATGCTCCTTAAAATGGTGACAAGCCTTTGGAATCTGCAGGAAATGGGTTTTATAGCAACTGAACAAGTTGTAAAATTTAAAAAATCCATTTAGAAGCATAAGTGATTGAACGTTTCGCCAAAAGACCTCAAAAGTCAAATATAGGAAAACTTTTAAAATCTTTTTATTTTGAAATTTTAATGTTATCTTCTTTCCTTCTCCACATGATGCACTGTTATATCTATGTTACAATTTTGATTTAGCTTATTTAACTGAATTAGGGTAGCTTTGGTCTAATATCCAGTCACTTTTGTCTAGAACTTGAGAGGAAAGCAGACAGCAAGGATTATCTTACCCCAAGGCAGATAACCTCCTGACAACATGTACAGAAATGTTCTCACCAACACGTAAAGACGAGGTCTGGGATCCTAAAGTCTATGGGCATTAATGCCCTTATACCAGGTCCTGTGTCATAATATCACAAAATTTATTCACACATAAGTTCCTCCTTGGTGAATCATGATGCACTTTTGAACTTGATGACTTTATATACTCCCAGACATTTTTCATAGATAGTACATTACAGAATAATTGGTAACAGAATGATTAGTTTTGAAAGCATAATTGTAAATAAATGTAATGTAAAGATATATCTCCATTTACTTCATGGTATTTCCATAAAGTTTTGTTAGTCAGTATGATACAATAGAAGATTGAATACAAAATAAATTGCACAAATAAAATTAAATAAGAGCTTAATGTGATCAGAACAAAGCACATTTCTAACTGAATATGTGGTATTTTAATAATGTTTTGGTCACTTACAATGGAAATAAATATTTTTATATCTACTTAGAGCCTAAGTATCTTTTCACTATTCTTCTGATCCTTTATGGCTCATAATGGAACATTTAAAAAATGTATTATTTTCTATTAACAAACGTTTTAAAAAACAGGCAATAACATTAAAATGTTTGAAAATAAGGACATGTTTGTTTAGGGGTACAAAGTTTATTTTCTACTTGCTTTATTTCCAAAGTCAAAGTCATCATATTGAAATTCTTTCTATATGTTACAAATTTAACATACATTGTTTATGTAGCTGCAGATATTTTTGCAACCTTATATCATCCAAATTAAAGTAAGTTGAATTAACGTTGTTGCCCAAAGACACATAGGTACATAATATTTGTTTGTGTATTCATTATGGAAATTAAATGCAGACTCTTGAATTTTGAAAGCCGGTAAAAACTATATTTGACCTAGTACCTGATAGTCCTGAGGAATGAATGAGTGCCATGGAAAATTAAAAATGAGTAATCAATGAAGGAATCACTTACCAGCATACCGATCAAATTCTTAGACATTGTGTATTGAAGATATAAGTACAAAGTTTCATATTATCAGTCAGTAAACAAGATGGGTTTATTTTGATATAGATAGATAGAATAAAAACAGCATTCCACAGGATCTCCAGCATCTGAAATCCAGAAGAATATTGAAATAATGATAAGTTTATAAGCCTGAAATCCCCGGGCAGCTTGGAAGCATCAATGGAGGACACACACGTACTAAGATAACACAACTCCGCAGGGATTGGGTTCAGTTTTATTATGGATAAGGCATCAGTCAACACTCCCTATACCATCTTACCATTTTGCTCAAAAATTTTGCAAAGAGCAAGTCAGCATCCCCAGCTCCTCTAGGTTAGCAGCACAGCCCGTGTTTGACAGGCAGCACGGAGACTGAAATCTCACCTTCACCTTCCACCCACAACTCGTTTAAATAAAGAAGCATTTTAAAACAATTCCTTTGAGACTCTTACCCAGCTTTTTAACTTGGTGTTCCCACAATCATGGAGAGCTCTAAGAACGTGGCATGATTTGGGGGTACAGAACCCACTGAAGAGCAAGGAAGAAAGGTCCCAGTCGCCAAATTAATAGAACATATAAAACTGACGCTGGTGATTCTCTTTAATAAAAACTCTGAAATATGGTAAAGGATGTGAAGGCTTTTATTCAGTGGTCTCAGACTCTTCCTCTGCTCTCTCTTTCCCACTTTCCCACTCACATCCCTCTCCTTGGGCAGATTTGCTTGTAATTTCATATCCCAACTTCACCCCAGTTCTAACTCCAACCCGACCCATAATTTTCACTAGCCCATTAACAATTAACATCCTTCCACAAAGTAACTTATTTTAAAAGAAAATTCCAGAAAGAGAAAACACTTGTCAATAATATCTTAAACATTGGAATTTCAAGCAAAAATTTTTGCAGGGATTTTTAAGAAGGCAAAACTATCTTCAAAGTTCTCCAAGCTTGGAGTTCTTTTTTTTTTTTTTTTTTTTTTTTAACATTTTTCCTTTCTTTTTTTCCTCTTTCTTTAGGGTAACAAGAAAGCAAGGTGTAAAATGGTGTTAGGATGGAATTTTGGAGAAAAGAATATGTAAATTCTTCCATAGAGCAGCCACAGCCCTCAAACTGTAACCACAGGAAATGATCCCAGGGGGCGGTTTGGGTGAGAAAGGTTGACAAAGGGAATCATTAAGTAGTGAGATCAATTAGAAAATCACTCAGGGTGCCAAAAATTGCGATATCACGTATGCTCTGGGGCAGGATGAGATAACACTAATTTGAGAGATAATAATAAGGCAAAATAAAAAAGGTTTGATGATCCACTAAGAGGCAGCCAGCAGACACATAAGCTCTAGGGCCAATCAAGTCTTCACTCACCTCTCTTAACTTCTCACAAAGAGTGTATTTGTTTTCTTTCCTGCATAACAAATGACCACAAAACTAGCGTTTTAAAACCACACCCATTTATCATCTCACAGCTTCTGTAAGTTAGAAGTCCAGGCACAGCGTGCACAGTCTGGGTTCTCTGCTCCTCGTTCCCAAGGCAGAAGTCAAGGTTCCAGCTGGGTGGGGTTCTCATATGGACATTCAACCAGGGAAAGACCTGCTTCCACGATCCCTTAGGTTGCTGAATGAGGTTTTTCCCTGAAGCTGCAGAATTCATGGGCTTCTCTTCTTCGGGCTGATGGGAAAATCTCTTGCTCCAGTCTGTGAAAGAGAGAGTCTTAGTGTCATACAGCATAACACAACTGTGGAAGTGTCTCTCCCATCACCTTCGCCACAGTGTAAACTAATCCAGGGGCTGCGATCCCATCATCTTTGCCATGTTCCGCTGTCGAGAAGCAAGTCACAAGTCCACACACAAGAGAGGGGCTTGTACGCGCTGTGGGTCATTGTTGGTCACCTTAGACCTCTGCCTGCTACAAAGGCTGTGTCACTCTTGAGAGGAAGACCCTCATGGCCACCCTGGAGGAGGAAGACGAATAATTTCATGGGTCAGTGCTATGGGCTGAATGTGCTTCCCCCCAAATTCAGATGTTGAGGTAGGAACACCCAGCAGCTCAGAATGTGGCTGTATTTTGAATTAGGGCCTTTGAAGAGGTAATTTGGTTAAACTGAGGTCATTAGGGTGGGCTCTAATCCAATATGACTGTTCTCGTAAGAAGAGGAAATGTGGACACAGACATTTACAGACAGAAGACCATATAGTGACACAGCGAGAAGACGGCCATCCACAAGCCAAGGAGAGGGGCCTCAGAAGAGACCTAGGCCAACCACACCTTGATTTTGGACTTCCCACCTGCAGAATTTTAAGAAAATCACTGTCTGCAGTCTGAGCCATCCGGTCTGTGGTGCTTTATTACGGCGGCTCGAGCTGCTTAGTACGCTCCGTCTCCAGTGCACTGATTTTCTGATATTTCATAGGAAGGCAGTTTGCCTGGTGGCAAGCTCATGTGTAATGTGGGCACTACAGGACATCGCTGCTGACCTCCATACTGAGTGTGGTCCGCCTCTCTCTCTCTCAATTTTCTCCTAGAGAGAGATTAACATATTTAATAATATACAACTTTCTGAGTATGTGGAAAGAACTGTACCTTTAGAGCCTTTTTAGGGAACAAATGTGCAACATGATCATTTAAAATGAACATAAACTTGACCCATTAATTATTCACTGTATATTTATTAAGTGCTTAAATCGCTAGGCTGTTTTTGGCGCTTGGGATCCATCAGTAAACACAACAGATAACAGTTCCTGTTGTAACAGATCTTACAGTCCAGTAGGAGGAGAGACATGAAGATATAACAAACAAGTAAATTATAAAGCGCAGTCATCCCACATAATGGTGTTATGGTCAATGACAGACCACATATACGACAGTGGTCCCGTAAGATTTGTACCATCGAGCCTGGGTGTGCAGTAGGCTGTACCACAAACGGTAGGTTTGTGTAAGTACACTTTAGGATGTTTGCACAATGATGAAATCACCCAAGGATGCATTTCTTACAACATATCCCTATTGTTAAGTGACACAAGATTGTATATGGCTAGAAGGTGACAAGCACTGTGTAAACATTTTTTTAAAAATACAAAACAATTGAGGAATGAGGAGCAGGAGTGTAGATTGAAGAGCCAGAAATTTTTCATGTGGTCAGTTAGAGTAGGACTAAGACCTTGGCATTTGAAAATAGACTTAGAGAGGGCAGGAAGTGACCTTGCATAATTTCACAGAAACAGAATCTTTGCAGAAGAAAGAGCTAAAACAAAGGCCCTGTGGCCTGACCTGATGGAGAAACAGCAAGAAAGTTGCTGTGGAGGAAGTGGAGGGGTGAATCCTCTGTTGATGAATCCTCCTGAGCAGAGTGGTCCGACTTCCCAAGATTTCGAGCAGAGGGTGATGTCTTGACCATTGGATTGAGGCTGGATTGCAGGGGAGCAAGGGTGGAATCCGAGGGCCATCAGGGGCTATGCCATGCTCTAGGCCAGAGGGTGGTGCTGGGAGAGCTGGAAGCAGTGCAGGTGTTCAGAAGGAATAGAGTCTGGATATAGTTTAAGCAACAGACTAACATTTTTCTCCAAATTTACTCTACAAACAGACTTGAAAACTGAATGAAGATGTCGGTAAAAAGATATGCACTACATGACATTTAGTGACAGAAAATAACTGGAAATAGCCTACCAAAAGGTGTCTAAAAAAATCTGCTAGATCAATAAACTAAAAGTCAACAGTCATTAAAAGATAAAGTTGGTCTGTGAGTATTAAAGTGAAAAGATGCACAAGACATCTTCATAAATAAAAATTTCAGAACAGTTGCATCCTATGATTTGTCTAAAAGCAAAAAGGACTGTATAAAATATAGAAGATTGTATGTGGTTAGAAATTTCTTAAACTAATTAACGTGTGGGAATAGAATTAAATTTAGTAAATGAAGAAAGGATTTTGCTTTTTATTTTTATTTCCTTTGCTTCAGTTTGACTTCTATAAATTACTATGTTAATTTGTTAATAATATTATTACATATCCTATTTTTTGAAGGAACAAGTTATACTTAAATATTCTCCCAGCATGAGGATCTTTGACCTTACCTTACAAAGTAACTCTTAGTGGGGAGAGGAGGCCAAGAGCATCCTAAAAATGAGTATTGATTTCAGCGAACACGACCTTTAATAGCATCATGGAAAATGAATGTGCTGTGATGTTAACAACAGTAAGTGGGGGCTGGACCCACGGCTTAGTGGTTAAGTTCATGTGCTCTGCTTCAGTGGCCTGGGGTTCTCCAGTTCGGATCCTGGGCATGGACCCACACATCGCTCACCCGGCCATGCTGTGGTGGCATCCCAAATGGAAGAGCTAGAATGACTTACAACTAGGATACCCAACTAGGTACTGGGGCTTTGGGGAGAAAAAGGAAAAAAGAGGAAGATTGGCAACAGATGTTAGCTCAGGACCAGTCTTCCTCACCAAAAAAGGCATACCTTTAAAAAAGAAACACTGGAGAGTGCACTGTGGACAACCGTCAGGAGCAGAAGTGAGCTAAAACAGGTCAGTCGGCACTTGGTTGTGCCTGTTCTGAACGTACAGAAGCCAAAGTGCTACCACGTGCGCTGAGTAGAGCACCTTTTGGTTGCACAGTTGTGCAGTGGCTGCCTATTAGAGCTATCAAGAATAAAACTATTTAAAAAATCAAATACTTAACAGAAATTTCCCTCATGAGGGGCTGCTGAGCCGCCACTTTCTTTTTTCCTAGGCTAACTCTCGCTTTCCCATTGGTTCCAGACTTAGGCTTCCTCTTTCAGGCCGGCGGTCCACACCCGCCTTCTTTTATATTTCCAAGCTACTGCTTTCCTCCTCCATAAAGTTTGTCCAGAAGGTTCTGGAAGACACAGCTTCCCTGAGGCCCACAGCAGTCCCCTTTCTGGGTGATTTCATAGAAACACGTGGGTGCTGCTCCTCAGCCTCGGTTTTGCTTTTGTTTGTGTTTCTGTCACTGATCTGGCACCCTTGTAACTTCTTGGTGACTGCAGCCCTGCGGTCTGCCTGTTCAGCCAGATACCAGTTCTAACAAAGTCCATTAATGTGACTATCTGTTTCTAGTTACTCTGAACAATAAACACTAAAAAGATGCTACAAAGGAAGTAAAAAGTCAGCCACTGATATTTGAATGAAATCCATTTGAGCTGTTGTATTAGTTTGCTGGTGTATTAGATTGTCATTTTAAAGGACCACAGACGTTTCTCCTCACAGTTTTGAGGGCTGGACGCTGAGGTGAATGGGTCAGAGGACTGGCTTGTTCTCAGGCCCTGAGGGAAGCATCTGTTTCAGGCCATGCACCTTGTCTTGTGGACGGCTGTCTTCTCCCTGTGTCTTCACATAGTTTTCACCCTGCATGTGTCTGTCCAAATTTCCTCTTCTTATAAGAAGACTGGTCACACGGGATTAGGGCCTACGCGATGACCTCATTTTGACTTAATTACCTCTTGAAAGACCCCGTCTCCAAATACAGTCACTTTCTGAGGTAACTGAGGGTTAGGACTTCAACATATGAATTTTGGGATGGACACAATTCAGCCCATAACACCTCGGTTCTACCTTCCGCATCAAATTTGCTACCTCAAAACAGAAATGACGTATTAAAGGGAAAGTTTGAAGTGATCTGAGGAAGTAAATTTAAGCTCAGTTTCAGGGGAGAGATACTCTTACCTGATGATCAGAGTTGTGGTACCCAGATACACTCGAGCAGTGAAGCTGTGTTGCTAAAGCATCAATCAATTCAATAATTAATATGAGCTAGCTGAACACATGCTCTCTTGACTTCAGTAATGGCGTCCTCTCTTAGAATATGTGGTGCTTTGGGAAAGTGTTGTTCTTTAGGGATCAGGTGGGTAAACAACATAAGATGTAAGGTACCAGCAGAAAATGCTCAATTGCAGGAATGCATTTTTTCTTCTACTTTCACCCATTCATGATCTCAAATGTTGTATTTATTATTTTATTCTTTCAGTTCAGACTCAATTTGTACCTTGCCTCCTTTCCAAAAATCGGCCATCAATTCCTTCTCAGTCTATATGCAATTCTTATCAAGTCTTTGATAATCTATCAAATTATCATTTTAAGGAAGTTGTATGTTCTCCTACAATCTTTGCCCTTGCTCCCATTATGCACATTGATAGACATGGCAGAGATGAGTTGTACTAGTTTCCTATTGCTGCTGTAACAAATTTTCATAAACTTTGTGATTGAATATAACAAATAATTATTTTCTGACAGTTCCCCAAGTCAGCAGTCCAAAATGCATCTCACTGGTCTAAAATCAAGGCTTCAGCAGATGTTTCCTCTGCAATTTGTAGGGGGAGAACCCATGCCCTTGCCTTGCCCAGCTTCTAGAAGCTCTCTGGCTCTCCTTCCACCCTCAGAACCAGCAGTGGCCTGTTGAGTCTCATGCTGCGTCACTCTGACATTGACTCGCTCACCTCCCTCTTGAGAATCCATTGGACCAACTAAGTGATTACCCAGATAATTCAGGATAATATCTCCATCTCAAAGTCAGCTGATTAGCAGAATTAATTCCATCTGCTGCCTCCCATATTCCTCATCATGTAAAGTTACATATTCAAGGTTCTGGGAATTAGCATGTGGACATCTCTGGGAATAGAGATGGAGGTCATTCTGCCCACTGCACGCTGTGGACAAAGGACTGTCTGATTACAAATCCCAGATAGAGACGTGTCAAACACAGTAAGTAAAAAGTCATTGTTATAATTATATTGTGAGGTGGACCAGTACTAGGTAATGAAGATCTGACAAGGTGATCAGAACTTGATGAGATGGTCAGGATCAAGTCATCACCGTTTCCTTCTGGCCACATGGCTATGTAAAACAGGGGAGGCAGCGTTTAGACTGACTGATAAAGCTTATAAGAAATCAAAGATGGTCTGAATTCTGAGCAAATGCTTCACTGCAGACAAACGTGTAGAACAATAAATACCAGAAGAATCTACAAATAGCAACTGCTAAATATAGGGCAGTTTTTGCAAGACAGAATCTAGAAGGTCTGTTCACAGATGCTACAGCAATGCTGACAAAGGCAGAAAGCACATCAGCAGACCCAGCCTCACTATTCAGCATGGTGTTCCCCACACTCCACACGCAGAACTGGTGCTTGGCAGTCAGGAATACTGGGTGCCTGGTGGCTGCCAATCAAGTCTGGGTTCCTGGTGTTCATAGAGTGACTGGACGTCCTGAGGCGCAACTTTCCATCTCTCAATTCTGTGTTCATAGTCTGTTTGCCAAAACTTCTGCTTTTATCCAAATGCCATAGTTCTGGGCTTTTGCTGACTCTACAACCATCATCAACTCCTTGTGCAGTCTTGCCACAAAGAAACTGATTCTCCAGAGAACAATCGTCCAGATGACATCTACAACCATAAAATTCAACGGAGGATAGAATTTCAGAATGGTTTGCAAAAGAAATTCTATAAATCGTTTGCTTTACATATTCTTCTTTAAAGATACTGATATCATATAAGAGCCTCTCTATTTTTTGTTTAAAAAATCACTGAATTCCCTCCTAAAGTATTTTTTAATTCAGCATATAACTTTCATAGTGGATTACGAAAAGTTTAAAGTATGCATAAAAGTAAAAATGTAAAACCAATATAAGTTGAAAAGAATTGTTAAACGTCAGGAAAAAACAAATAAAGAAAACTTTTTTACAGCATTTTTAAAACACTCTTTTTATCCTAGCAGTTGGTGAATTCTTGCTTATTCAATCTACAGAAGAAAATTCTATTTTTTGCTTGAAAAGTGTGAGAAATTCTAGCCTGAAAAGGTACTTGTCATGAAGTTACATACAAATGAAAATACAAGCTAAGAATAACAGTACCATCTGAGCCGTAATTATAGTGCAGTCTTATAATCTGAATCTACAGGAACTTTCTAGAAATAATTACTTTTTAAAAAAGTGAAAACTACTTTTAATACTTTAAAACTAGCCTAAATCTTAAGGAATATTAAGATGCCACCTCTTTTAAAGTTACTTTTTCTAAAGTTGTTTTGTTTCAGATTAGTGAGCAAGAGTTGAGCCAAATTGAGCAACAATTTATAGTAGTATCTGAATTACAAATATAAAGTTAATTTTAAAGGCATCTGAAACATTTAAAATTCTAAACTTACCAGTAACTTGGGTAGCTGGCAAAGCCTCTAACATACAGATAGAAAATTTTGATATATTAATGCTTAAATCCTTTTTCACCAACCAAATAGCTATATGGTGAATAATTAATATCAATAATAAGAAAATTAATAATAGCTCCTATGTATTGAATACATAATAAATGCATACATTTCAGACACTCTCCTAGGCACTTAAAATATATTGCCTAATTGAAATCTCAAAATAATTATATGAGGTAGGTATTTTGTTTTGCAAATTAGAAAACAAATTCAGAAAGATTAAACATTACTTAAACTTATTTCGGTTTTGAACTTTAAAAATTACTGTTTTAAGACTTTCTATTTATGTTATAGAAAAGGTTTTCTTTGCCTGAGAGAGATGGTGTGAAGAAGAAAATGTCAAAATTTTGGGGGGCCGGCCCAGTGGCATAGTGGTTAAGTTTGCATGCTCCGCTTCAGAGGCCTGGGGCTCTCCAGTTCAGATCCTGGGTGTGGACCTAGTACTGCTCATCAAGCCATGCTGTGGTGGCATCCCACATACAAATAGAGGGAGATGGGCACAGATGTTAACTCAGCAACAATCTTCCTCAGCAAAAAGAAAAGATTGGCAATAGATGTTAGCTCAGGGCCAATCTTCCTCACAAAAAAAACGAAAGAAAAGAAAAATTGGCCTTGGGTAGAAATTTCTTTAGAGAAGAAAATTAAAAGACTCAACAAAAGATAACTTTGAATGTAAAGTTTGAGATGAACTCAGCTAGTGTTGATCTCACAGAATCCAGCTCAGTTCTTGCTCTGTTTCCAGATCCTTTGTATTCAGTCTGAACCTCTGTCTTCTGAGCTGTAAATGGAACAACACAGATGGTTCCCGCACTTCACCTAGGCAGTGTTTCTAACTTTCTCCGAACCAATTCCAACTGCCTATGGACCTTTGATTTTCAGAGCCTCTGGTCAACCCAAGAAGTAAGAGTCTTGGATAGAGCTATATAAACAGGTCAGCAGATATGGGCAATTGTAAGGTTACCAAAAATTGAAGCCTCTTGTTAATTTCCCAAATTGGAACAGGCAACTAATAATAGTTAACACAAATATATACTCTTAGGAGAATGCTTCTTATAATTATTGTGTCATAATTCTCACCAATTTCAGGTATATTGACTTAATTGGTATATGCAATTGTTGCATTCATTTGCATAGTTTATTCATATCGTTTAACTATTTTCACCTCACCAATGTATTTAGCATCCTATGATTGCTTTGTGTTAATCATATTTCCCTCGGCAGTATTGAGTTTACTATTTCCATCTTAAAGGAGAGCTACCCAGGTGGTGGTTAGTAACTTAAAGGCTCAACTAGGGGGCCACCCCATGGCCGAGTGGTTAAGTTTGTGTGCTCCACTTTGGTGGCCCGGGGTTTCCCTGGTTGGGATCCTGGGCACGGACATGGCACTGCTCGTCAGGCCATGCTGAGGCGGCATCCCACATAGCACAACCAGAGGCACTCACAACCAGAATATACAACTATGTACTGAGGAGCTTTGGGGAGAAGAAGAAGAAAAAAAAAGATTAGCAATGGATGCTAGCTCAGGTGCCAATCTTTAAAAAAAATATTTTTTAAGTTTTAAAAAAAGCCTGAACTAGCATAGGATCATACAGCTTCTGCTCCTATGCAAAAGCATTCAAATTACCTACACTGCACCTTTCCATATTCAGTTTAACTCAATATTTCATTCATTGCTTCAATGAAACATTTACAATCTAACCACATGAGATATGTTAAAACTTCGGAGGTCTGGATGTCACACCCCAGGGGTTCTCCACGCCGGCTGCACGTCGATCACCTGGGAACCACTTAAAAGCACTGCCTGCCCCGCCTGCTCCCAGAGCAGCGGACTCAGAGCCTCTGGTCCCGCACAGGCGTCTTCACAATGCTCACAGTTGGTTCTAAGAACATTGAGATTTGAGCACTGTAAACTTCATGAATTAAATTTACATAGAATAGGGATTAGGCTTTTCTTTTAAATTAGTTCCACCATATTATCTCTTGTACATTACAGTTTGTGAACCAAGTCTCTAAATAATGCCTAATTTAGTTTTTCTGTTCATGTATTTGATGGATTTTCAAAATCTGGGGAGGACACATAAAAATGACTTCTCTATCCTAACCAAACAATAGTAAATTAATTATTTTTATAAAGTATATCTAGTGTTGTAAATATTCATAAAAATGGGAATATTGCCAACTGATATTCCAAAATACAAGCTTTAACTATTTAAAATATTACCAATTCCATTAAGGGTATATTTGAGGTTTATATAATGCCAATATAACCACAATAGAGCAGACATTCTTGGTTAATACAATAGTGTTAAAAAGTGTATGTTAAGAAATAGTACAATATAGTGGTTTGGTTCTTGATCTCAGGAGCTAGACTGTTCAAATATCACCTTTGACTATTACGCATGGGAATTTAGCCAGGTTACTTCACCAAGAAATGGAGGTAGGCATACTCAGAGGTATTTTTGAGTGTCAAAGAGGATCTTATAGGTAAAAAGATTAGGAACAGTCCCTGGCCCATAATGACTATTACAACCATTTTTCTTCTTGCTATTTCAAAACTAAAAGATACTAATATTGAAAACCAATAAAGTTTCTATGATCACCTTTTCCTCCTTGAACCAAACAGGTGAGTCTGAGTACAAAAGTTGAGGCAGGAGGGGCTGGCCCCGTAGTCGAGTGGTTAAGTTTGCCCGCTCCACTGCAGGCAGCCCAGTGTTTCATTGGTTCGAATCCTGGGTGTGGACATGGCACTGCTCATCAAACCACGCTGAGGCAGCGTCCCACATGCCACAACTAGGAGGACCCACAACGAAGAATATACAACTATGTACCGGGGGCTTTGGGGAGAAAAAGGAAAAAATAAAATCTTTTAAAAAAAAAAGAAGTTGAGACAGGAATGGCTCTACTTACTCTCACTCCTAATGACCTTGGGGACCTTGTGCCTCCTGTTCCCACAACTTTAGGTTACGTGGGTCTAGAAATCGTATTGACAGAGGGATAACACTTTCACCAGGGGAAATAGAAAGAGATCCATGTGCCAAGAGACCGGCAGGAAAGGAAAGGAAATCTATCTGGTAGGGGCAAAGGACGCTACTCGTAGAAAGAGGGAAGGTCCTGTTATGAATGGGGAGGAAACCTGGCTTTTGGACCATCTCCTAGGACCTCTCCTGGTGTTCTCCTCCTTCAGTCTAACAAGTGCGGCAACCTGAGCCTCTGAAAAGCATGGTGACCCAGGGCCAGCAGAGAAGCAGACCACTCAGAGATGAGGGTCTGTTTACTGCACCACCTAAGTCAATTCCATGCTCTTCAAAGGGGACGGGAATCTAGAACGGGGAGTTTAGAAGGTAGACCCGATGTAGTGGCAGGGACTGTATTTTTTCTTTTAACTTCCTCTTATAAGTTTCTCCAGGAAATGGAAACTATCAGAATCCTGGAGCGTTGGAGTGAATTTACTCTATATATGGGATAAACTTGCTTTATGGTACAAGTGGATAAATACCGTGGAAAGAGTGGTCTATTGTGTAGACACTCTTTAAAAGAGGAAATGTGGTTGGTCCCACCAGATATAATGAAATGTAGGTTTTGGGGAGGAAAAGTGGCTGCCCAAGAAACCAGAGTGATGCTTTTTAAATGCGAGGCCCCCTGTAGTGAGGGACAGGAATATTGCTGACACGACTGAAGTGCAATGCCAGCTGTAGAAGAAATCTCCTGACTTATCGAAATCTCCTGGAACAAAGATGGAAAGCAACAGCAAATAAATCTTGGCCCAGACTGGAATATTTGTTATAAATTAAGAGCTATGACTGCATTAATATCTGAACTCTTCATAAGAATCCCAATGAAGAGACACCCTAAAAATTCATGACCTGCAGCAAATACATTCTAAGTATGACTGGGGTATTTGCCATTTATTTGGGGAAACAGTTTAGCGCGTAAGTATACCTTTACAAAGACCCATTTTTAAGCAAAGAGATTGGAGTATAAGTAATATCTGCAAATTTTGTACCAGAAAATTGTATGATTTGTGTCAAGATATGGCTTTATGACTACCTGAACGTGTATGTGGCATTACAATGATTCCACCTCTATGCCCTCAACCCCCAGCGCTGCCCTGCTCCCGTATTTTAACTCATCTACTGAGCCTTCTGTCCGGTGAAGTGTTCCAAGCCTTAGTTTTACATGTCTT